ATACCGAAGATACATTTTGGTTGGTTCAAGGAGCCTGCGCGCATGCCAACATAATTTTAGACTGATTGGATGTATATGATGCAGCCCCAGAAGTTTCTTATTGGTAGATGCTATTCTCAGGGCTGTGGAATGTGCTGACTGTTATCTGTGGGGCCAGGAGTCTCTGTTTTTACCTTATAGGGCAGTTTTCATGCCCGGGCTTGCTTAATCTATAGTTTCCTGGGGGTCAGGGCATGCCAGGGCATGTCTAGGCATGTCTAAAGCAGCAGCCAAGCATTTTACAGAAGCTAAAAGAGCAATTGTAAGGGAGGATTGGGGGGTAGCGGGTGAATGAGGAGGGACTCAGGGTCCTGTGTGTGTGTGTGTGTGTGTGTGTGTGTGTGTGTGTGTATGTATAAGAGGAAGCAGAAGCAGAGATCTCAAGAAAACTTGTGTGGTGGAAGGCTAAGGCAGGAGAATTGCCTTGAGGCCATACTGGGACACATAGCAAGACCCTCTCTCAAAAAAAGAAAAGAGGCCGGGTATGGTGGCACACACCTGTAGTCCCAGCACTTGGGAGGCAGAGGCAGGCGGATCTCTGTGAGTTCAATGCCAGCCTGGTCTACGTAGTGAGTTCCAGGCTAGCTGGGGCTACAGGGAGACCCTGTCTCAAAAAGACCAAAGAAGAAAAGGGAGGGAAAAATGAAAAGAATGTGTCTTGTTCAGCACTGAATTCCAAGTACTTCATACTGAGCCTTGCAATGTAATATGTAGCATAGTATAAAAATAAAAAATTTCCAATAAAAATTTCAATTTTTTTAGATTTCATTTTTATTACATTTACTTATTTAATATTTATTTATGTATTTTTTTTTTTTGGTCTCTTTGAGACAGGGTCTCCCTGTAGCCCCAGCTGTCCTGGAACTCACTATGTAGACCAGGCTGGCCTTGAACTCATAGAGATCCACCTGCCTCTGCCTCCCGAGTGCTGGGACTACAGGTGTGCACCACCACGCCTGGCTTTATTTATGTATTTCTTTTGGGCCAGTGTGCAGGCCTGCCATGGCACATATGTAGAGATCAGAAGACAACTAACTTGTAAGAGTTGGTTTTGTTGCCCCTGTAGGTCCCAGTGATCAAATTCAGGTTGTCAGGCTTGGCAGCAAGAGCCTTTACTAATCGAGCCATCTCACTGGCCTTTTAAATCTACCCGATGACTTTATAGACATACACAGGTGCCAAGGATCCGAGTGCAACCAATTATGACTAGTAATAGATACATACAGATTAGAGATGCATGTGCCAACATCTCAGTGTTATGAGCAAAAACAATAACTCTTTCTGTAAGAAACAGTATATTTTAAAATGAAATGTAGATCTTTTTTAAAGGTTAAAAACTTTCAATTTTATGCTAGCACTGGCTGCTCTTGCAGAGGACCCAGGTTCGGTTTCCAGCACCCACATGACAGCCAACAACTATCTGTAACTTCAGTGCCAAGGGTTCCAATGCCCTTTTCTGACTTCAGCAGGCATTACATGACATGGGTGAACTTACATAAATGCTAAAAAAATTTATATTATCTTAAAAAATTTAAAAATTAGATTAAAATGCTTCTCAGTGTTTTTGAGAAATAATAAAAAAATATTGTTTAATATACAAGTATACCAGGACGGGTGGTGCTCACTTGTAATCCCAGCACTTGGAAGGTGAAAGGAGGATTAAGAGTTTAAGGGCATCTTAGCTGCAGAAAGAATATAAAAATGGGCTGGGCGTGGTGGCACATGCCTTTAATCCCAGCGCTTGGAAAGGCTGCAGGGAGACACTGTCTCAAAAACATCAAAAAAAAAAAAAAGTATAAAAATGGGCTGAGGGAATGGCTCAGTCAGTAAAGCGGTCAAAATGCAAGGATAAGGACCTGAGTTCAATCTCCAATATTTATGTGAAAACTCAAGGTGGCACATGCTTATAATTCCAGCAGTGGGGTGGGGGCAGAGACACGGAGACCTCTGGGATTTGCTGGTCAGCAAGAGCCAGGTCCCGGTGACAGACTGTCTCATAAAACAGGGTGGATGGTTTTTGAAGGTTGACTTCTGTCTTCCACATGCACACACACAGGAAGAAAGAAAGAAAGGAAGGAAGGAAGGAGTGAGGGAAGGAAGGGAGGGAAGAAGAAAAGAAGGGAGGGAGGGAGGAAGGGAGGGAGAGAGGGAAGGAGAAAGAGACAAAATATATAAATATATAAATACTATAAATAATAAGTACTGCCGGGTGTGGTGGCTCACACCTTTAATCCCAGCACTTGGGAGGCAAGAGGCAGGCAGATCTCTGTGAGACTGAGGCCAGCCTGATCTCCATAGGGAGTCCAGGCCAGCTGGGGCTACTCTGTCTCAAAAAGACCAAAAAAAAAATTACAATGATGAAACTTATGTATATATATGTATCTATGCTGATCAACCTGTCCCCTGCATGGGAGGGGAACGTGATCACTGTGCTCCACTAATGACAAACTGTCCTTGTCTTGCAGTCATCAAGAGCCCCCCTGGCTGGGAGGTGGGTGTCTACGCTGCGGGGGCCCTGGCACTGCTCGGAATTGCAGCTGTGAGTCTGTGGAAGCTCTGGATGTCGGGGAGCTTTCCCAGGCCCTCTCCTTTCCCTAATTATGACTACAGGTACCTGCAGCAGAAATATGGAGAGGCTGACATGGAAGCTAAGCTGAAGGTGAGGCTTCTGCTCCTGCAGACCCACACCCCATGGACGGTTCTGAGGGTTGGCCTCCGGTCTCTCACTCTCCTTTGCCTCCTCTTCGTTAATATCCCCTGTGAATGTGGACCAGACCACAGATTGTCGATTCCTAGCCAAGTCCTTGGGGGGGGGGGGTGTAAGGGGGGAGGGGGAGGAGACTAAATACTTGTTGAGTAAATGATTGATCTTGGTTGTAAAACTATTGTGTGAGGTTGGGTGTGATGCTGTCACCTGTGATCTTAGCCTTTTGGTGGTGGAGGCAAGAGAATCATGAGTTTTGGGCACCTTGGGCTATAGAGTGAGAACCTGTCTCAAAAATGACTACCTTGCCAGGTGTGGTGGCGCACGCCTTTAAAATCCCAGCACTTGGAAGGCAGAGGTGGGAGGATCTCTGTGAGTTCGAGGCCAGCCTGGTCTACATAGTGAGTTCCAGGCCCTCTGGGGCTACAGGAGACCCTGTCTCAAAAAGACAAAAGAAAAAAAAAAAAAGGCTACCGTGTGAAAAGTACAACAAAATACAAATAAGAGAGGTCACCTCCCGAAATCCAACTGCCTGACTGTTAACTACTCTGTGTGACCCCGGCTGGCCTTGAATTCGTAATGATCCTCCTGTTTCTGTCTCTTGAGTGCTGGAGTTACAGCCCTGGGCTGCCACATTCTGTTTGTTTTTTTGACACAGGGTTTCATTATGTAGCCCTGGCTGACCTAGAACTGATGTGTGTCAGGATTGATTAAATGTCATTATAAATAAGGCAATGGATTTTGTATATAAACCTTTGTCGTCACGTGGAATGCTGTACTTTGTTTCCTGTTGTTTTGAAGGGGGTTTTGTTGCTATTGGTAGTGGTGGGTTTATTTTTTTGTTTGGTTTGTTTTTCTTGGACATTTTTGTTTGTTGGTTTGGTTTGGTTTTTTTAGACAGGATCTCCTGGTAGCCCCAACTGGCCTGGAACTCACCGTGTAGACTAAGCTGGCTTCAATCTCACAGTGATCCACCTGCCTCTGCCTCTGCCTCCTGAGTGCTGGGATTAAAGGCATATGCCACACCTGGTTGATTTATTTTATTTTTAATTATGTTTACGTGTCTGTGTGTCTGTATGTGGGTATGTGTATGTGCTTGCAGGTGCCCAAGATTGCCAGAAGAGGGCATTGGGTTCCCTGGAACTAGAGTTATGGATGGCTCACAATGTGGGTGCTGGGAACCAAACTTGGGTCCTCTGGAAAAACTATATGTGCTTTTAACCACTGAACCATCTCTCTACCCCCACCCCCCCTTTTTAAGGCAACGTTATCCTGTCCTTTCTCTAATCATTTGTTATACATTTTACCACTTTTGAAAGCTCTTTAAAAACTTTTGGAGACAGGGTCTCCCTGTAGCCCCAGCTGACCTGGCACTCACTATGTAGATCAGGCTGGCCTTGATCTCACAGAGATCCACCAGCTTCTGCCTCCCAAGTGCTGAGACTAAAGGTGTGTGCCACCACACCCAGCTAAAACATTAAAAAGTTTTAAATTACATTTATTCATTCATTGTGTGTGCCAAATGTGTGCCACAACGTACCTGTTGGAGATCAGAGGACAATTTGCAGGAATCAGTTCTCTCCTTCCACTATGTACACCTTGGAGATGGAACTCAGGTCATTAGGCTTGGCAGAAAGTGCTTTTACCCAGTGAACATATTGCTGGCCCCATTTTTTGTTTTTGTTTTTGAGACAAGGTCTCAATTAGGCCTTAAACTTGATATAGGTCACCAAGGGGGACCTTGAACTCCTGGTCCTCCCGGCTCTATCTCCCAGATGCTGAGATTATAGACAAGCACCACCAATCCCAGCAGGAACCTACATTTTGGATAGATGCCCAGATGTGGAATTGCTATATCAAGGAATATAAATGTTTTTAAGGTCCTCAATACATACTGATGAATGTTAGATCATTTAATACCTGGCAGAGAATTTTTTCGACATCATATAAGGTTGCATAGAACACAGCACGACTCTGTTACAAGATCAGAGTCTCCCATGCACACTCATCTGGTAGGCCCCAGGTTCCATCTGACACTCTGTTGGAAGGAGTGTAATTGGGACAACTTTTCCAAAGAGCATTTTGGTAACACATGTTGAAATCTGTTACAGGGACTATCCTCCAAAACAGGATTTTAAGAAAGTTATCTGAGGGACTGGAGAGATGGCTCAGTGGGTAAGAGCACCGACTGCTCTTGCAGAGGACCCAGGTCGATTCCCAGCACCCAGATGGCAGCTAACAACCATTCATAACTCCATTTCCAGGGAATTTGACACCTTCTTCTGACCTCCACAGGCATTGCACAACAGGGGTGTACTTACACACATGTAGGCAATACACTCATCCAGATAAAATATAATTTTTTTTTAAAAAAAGCTATTTGAGGCTGGACATGGTGGCACATGCCTGTAATCCTCAGACTCCAGAGGGAGAGGTAGAAGGATTAGGAATTCAAAGGCATCTTTGGCAATATAGCAAGTTCAAGGCCAGTCTGGGCTAATTGAAAACCTGTCTTAAAACAAAAGCTAGAAGCAAAAACAGGGGGCTGGAGAGATGGCTCAGTGGTTAAGAGCACTGGCTGCTCTTCTAGTTTGGTTCTTACCACTCATGTCAGATGGCTCACAACTGCCTACAACTCTAGCTCCAGGGATCCAATGTCCTCTTCTGGCATCTGCTGGCACTGCAATCATGTGCACATACTCACACACAGACACATATACATAAATAAAAAGAAAAAAGAGGGCTGGAGAGATGGCTCAGTGGTTAAGAGCACTGACTGCTCTTGCAGAGGACCTGGGTTCAATTCCCAGCACCCACATGTTGGCTACGAACCTTCCTTAATGCCAGTTCCAGGGGAATGTGAAGCCCTCTTCTGACTTCTGTGGCATTGCACAACACAAGTACACTCATACATGTAGGCAATACACTCATACACATAAAATAAAAATAATAAATGAAGCCGGGCGTGGTGGCGCACACCTTTAATCCCAGCACTTGGGAGGCAGAGGCGGGCAGATCTCTGTGAGTTCAAGGCCAGCCTGGTCTACATAGTGAGTTCCAGGACAGTTGGAGCTATAGGGAGACCCTGTCTCAAAAAGACAAAAAAAGAAAAAAAGAAAAAAAAGAATAAAAAGCCGGGCGTGGTGCGCACACCTTTAGTCCCAGCACTTGGGAGGCAGAAGCAGGTGGATCTCTGTGAGATCGAGGCCAACCTGACCTACATAGCAAGTTTCAGGCCAGCTGGGGCTACAAAGAGACCTGGTCTCAAAAAACCAAAACACAACAACAACAAAAACCAAAGCTATTTGATGTTGAATTATTTGTATTTGTGAAAAATTAGAAACAACATATAGAAACAGTAGCTTCCCAGTAGGGGAAGAGTGGTAAAATTATGACTAATTGGGAAGTCCTTAAAAATTATGGTATCAAAAGTATGGGAGCTGCTTACGATAGGAAAGCTCTTGCTTTCTGAAATTCCAAGGTCAATTTAGAGCAAAGAAAATTTCAAATGCTGCCCAGTGAAAGTTTTCTTGTGTTGTATTTTTATTTTTCAATCTTTACATTTATTTATTGTGAATGTATATGGTTCACATGGGTGCCATGGCACATGTGTGGGGGTCAGAGGACAACTTATAGGGGCCAGTTCTCTCCTTCCACCGTATGGGTCCCAGGGATCAAACTTAGGTCATCAGGGTTGGTGGCAGGCACCCTTACCTATCTCACCAGCCCGCGTGTTTTTGTAACCTTTTTTGAGACTGTGGAGAGGCTGTACACTAGATTCTTACCTATTCCCCTTCCACTGGACACTTACATTGCCACTATTTCCAGTTTTGATTTTGTTGAGATAGGATCTCATGTAGCCAAGACTGGCCTTGACTCTGTGAGCCTTCCACTTCTGCCCCCCAAATTTGGGATTGCAGGTGTGCGCCTCCGTACCCAGCAGCTTTTCTTTTTTTGTTGTTTTTCTTAATTTTTAAAATTTTATGTGTATGAGTGTTTGCCTGCATGTATGGAAGTCTACCACATGCATGCATGCCTGTGGAGGCCAGAAGAGGGTGTTGTAACTCCTAGAACTGTTGTTAGTTGCCATGTAGGTGCTGGGCACTGAACCCGGGTCTTCTGCAAGAGCAGTCAATGCTCTTAAATGCTGAACCATCTCTCCAGCTCTGAGCTTTTCTCTTTTTTTTTTTTTTTTTTTTTGTTTTTTTTTTTTTTTTTTTAAAGACAGGGACTCTCTGTAGCCCCTGCTGGCCTGGAACTTGTTATGAAAACCAGGCTGGCCTTGATCTCACAGAGATCTGCCTGCCTCTGCCTCTACCTCTGCCTCTGCCTTGCTGGGATTAAAGGTGTGCACCACCACGCCTGGCTTCCTTTCCAATCTTTAACTCCTCATTTCATAGCCAATTTCAAGCAGGGTTAATAAAATAGAGAGCAACTACAGAATGGATAACTGAATTATGAACTCACAGAGATCCGCCTGCCTCTGCCTCCCAAGTGCTGGGATTAAAGGTGTGCGCCACCACGCCCAGTGAGTTTTTCTTTTTTATAAACATCATTACAGTATGAGATTCTATCACAGTAAGTAAACAAGTTGGAAAAGCACTTTCTTCTATTGTGGTTAAGGAAAGAAAACAAAGCTGGATATGGTGGTACATGCCTGTAATCCCAGCACTCAGGATGCTGAGGCAGGAGGATCATGAGTTCCAGGTCAGCCTGGGCTCTATAACATGCTCCCTTTTATTCGCCCTCAGAGAGTCCCTCCCTGGAATGCCCAACGCACCAACACTCGGGGACCACCCAGCCGCAAAGGCAGCCTCAGCATTGAGGACACATTTGAGAGCATCAGTGAGCTAGGGCCCTTGGAGCTGATGGGCCGGGAGCTAGACTTGGCCCCCTATGGGACTCTCCGAAAGTCACAGTCGGCTGACTCCCTGAACTCCATCTCCTCTGTGAGCAACACCTTTGGGCAAGACTTCACACTGGGCCAGGTGGAGGTGGGCATGGACTATGATGCGGCCTCCCACACTCTCCACGTGGCAGTGCTGCAGGGCAAGGACCTTCTGGAGCACGAGGAGGCCAGCTTCGAGTCCTGCTTCATGCGTGTCAGCCTGCTGCCCGATGAACAGATCGTGGGCATCTCCCGGGTAAGTGAGGCTGGTGCAGGTAGAGGGGTGCTCTGGGCTCTCTGGAGTCTTCCAGGGAGGCAGGCTGGTGGCTAGGCCAATGGGCAGCTTCTGCAGTGCCAGGAAGGGTCTGAGTGTGAATCCAGAGCCGAAAAGGCCATGCACAGACTCCCGTTTGTGGTCCGGGTGCTGTGGGCATTCTCAGCTCTGTCACTCAACCATCTCCACATCTGTCCCTTTGTCAATGTGGAGTCTTTGCAGGAAAAAAAAAAAAAAAAATGCCCTGCGCATTTGGCTGATCTGGGAAAGAGTTCAATGACAGAGCTGTTTGCCGTGGAGTTGGTGGGGACGGAATGATCGTAGCTGATGTGGTTCCCTGAGTTTAACAAGAAGAGAGGCGGCCCCAGGGACTGAAGGCATGAGAGGAAAATGAGGTTCTGGGCTCAAAATGAGATGCTGTGCCCTTTGCTGAGAGGGTGTGGTCAGCCCCAAGAGAAACTGAAAAGCCTTGGGGATAAGCACTCAAACTTTCCTCTAACCTCCAGTCTCTGCTGCCCCTCCCAGTGACCCCAGTGGCTGACCTCCACTCAAAACCAGAGACCAAGGGACTCTGCCAGAACATTCGGGCAGTTGACACTGCCCAGAACAGTCAGCTGGGGAATGAGATCAAAGAAAGGCCTGGTGCGAACAGGAAAGCCATAAGATACTCTCTAAGGCAGCCCACCCTGACAGCTTACCCTACTGCAGAGCAGCAGGAAGAGTCTAGATCCTGAGCCTTCTGAGATAGGCTAGGTCAACCTGCAGTGACCTTTGACCTGCAGGACCAAGGGTCTTCTGACTGCTTGGAGACTCAGGCTTCCTGTCCTGCTCCATGCATGGGCCCATGAAGCACAAAGCTTGGCGAATAGCTGGTAGGAATCCTAAGCCCCTATGGGCAGGGGACAGCTATGAAGCTGGTTGGGTTAGGGAAAGGGGAGATGGGGCCAGGGATCCTGAAGAGCCTGGAGGCTGAGATCAGAAGACCAGGAAGTAGGCTTTGTCCCATGGGGCAAGAGGCCTGGAAAAGTCTCAAGTAGAACACTGTGTGGGCAACATGATTCCTGGTGTGTGTGTGGCAGGGGAAGGAGGAGGGCTACAGGAAGAGGACTACAGGAGGACTATAGGAGGAGGACTACAAGAGGGCTACAGGAGGAGCCTCCCCAAAGCTGGGCAGTGACAGAGACTGAGATTAATCCAGGTAGTTGGAAGCCCTGGAGGGTTTGTTTCCAGGAAGATAGGCTTCCAGATACCTTAATCTGACAGTCCACTGTGTGAGGGGTGGGGGTGGGGGTTGCCTCCAGGCCAAGCAACACCCTCAGCTTCAGAGAGGGTGCCAGGGATAATAGCTGCTCTCTAAATACCACTAGGCAGTGACTCAGGTGCCCCCACAAAAGGGCAATCAGAGCCTCATGTACACCTCCAGGGGACTGCCCACGGCTTCCTGGGAGGAGGCCAATGGTGCCCACAGGCAGGACTAAGCTGGAAAACAGAGCGTGCCCAGCCCTGCCGAGTCACTCCATCCAACTGTCTGCTCATCCATCCGTGCTATGATGATCAGACAGACCTGGCAGACTCTGGGGGGCTGGTGGGGAGGGCATGTGGCTGTGATGTTAACAGCTTGTTGACTCAACAGACAACCTCCCAGCTCCCACTGGCCCAAGGCTGGGCTGAATTGAGCAGATGTAGGAGAGAACCAGTTCAGCCAGAGCATCTTGGTGGGGATGAGGATTTACTAGAACTCTACAGAAGCATCTAATACCCGGCCAATAGGTTGACCACAACCTATGAGAGGACATGGGGCTTTAAAAAAAAATTGTATGAGCCGGGCGTGGTGGCACACACCTTTAATCCCAGCACTTGGGAGGCAGAGGCAGGTGGATCTCTGTGAGTTCAAGGCCAGTCTGGTCTACATAGTGAGTTCCAGGACAGCTGGGGCTGCAGGGAGACCCTGTCTCAAAAAGACCAAAAAAAAAAAAAATTGTATGAGTGCTTTGCCTACATGTGTATAAGTGCACCACATGTGTGCAATGCCCATGGAGTCCAGCAGAGGATGTCTGATCTGGAACTGGAGTTTTAGACAGTTATTACCTGCCATGTGGGTGCTGAGTCCTCTGGAAGAGTATCCAGTGCTTTTAACTGCTGAGCATCTCTCCAGCCCCAAGAGATAAACTCTTTTTTTTCTTTTCTTTTTTTTTTTTTGGTCTTTTTGAGACAGGGTCTCCCTGTAGCCCCAGCTGCCCTGGAACTCACTATGTAGACCAGGCTGGCCTTGATCTCACAGAGATCTGCCTGCCTCTGCCTCCTGAATGATGGGACTAAAGGCGTGCGCCACCACGCCTGGGAAGACATAAACTTTTAAACTTTTAAGGTAACCTCAGCATTTGAGAGATGGAGACAGAAGGTTGGGGAGTTCAAAGTTGTCTTCTGCTAGGTAATGAGTTGAGGCCATCTTGGCCTACAGAAGACCCTGCCTCAAAACAAACAAACAAAACCTGTGCTACCAGGCAGGGTGGCTGTTGTGTGACACTATTCCTGGGAAGATGTACACAAGCATCTACTCACCCCAGATAGGGAACCTATTAGATTTAGGTCAGAAAAGGAAGGAGTTTAAAGTTTAGAAGTAAGAATCAGAGTCAGACCTGTAACAGGCAAGGAATGAGTTCCCTTCATTCAGGAAACCCAGCAAAGGGCTGCTAGCTCTTCCTTGAGGAATGGTTACCTGTGATCTGAAGAGGGAGCAGTCTGGTCTTATATAGGAGCTCTGCTGCACACAGTTGCAAGAGTTAACTCCATGCCAGGGTCTGGTCCTTGAGGGTCTCTTTTCTCAAGATTATTTGCTCAGGAAGGCAGGTGAGTTATCTGTGGCACTAGAGGAGACAGATGGGCTCCACAAACAGTCTCTCTCAGTCCAGGGAGTGACTAGTTGATAAGGCTTAAGCAAGGCCAGGCTGCCAAGTTAGGGCCAGTTAGACACTTTAAGGGATTTATGGCTTTCCCTAATGAGGCTTGTGGGTCTTCTGCAGTTCACACATTCTATCAGAACCAATGACAGACCAAAGTAAGTATACCACCAAAGTCCAACTTAGGGAACCCATGATTTTTTATTAGGGTTACTTATAAGATTATGGGTAAGGAGTTACTTACAGGAATAGAAATGGCTCAAAGACAGGTGTATCACCAAATGCCCACCCCAGCATGGGTGGTGGTTCTAAAAATCTTGGCAACCTGCACAACTTGGTCACTGCACAACTTACAAGCAGCCTCGTAGGGTAGAGTATGTCTCTTCCAGGTGCTTCAGTTGGTCTCAGCTTTTTCCAGGCAGGTGGGCTGCTTGATGGTCTGGTCTGAAGTTAGTTTGAAGAGGGAAGGGCCTAGAGAACCTGGCCAATTTCAGGAACTTCCTGAAGCTATTCAGTTGTTTGCTACCTGCTTAAGGAGCTTCCCTGCAGGATAGAAAGTTTCATCTTCCCTTAGAACAGCCTGTTGGTTTAACCAAGCTTCCCTTCAAGATGGGATGTTTTATATCAGAAGATATTCTTCTATAACAGTGGCTTATGCTGTAATTCCAGAACTCTGGAAGCTGAGGCAGGAAGACTATACAAGTTCAAGGCAAGTCTAGGCAACATAGTGAGTTCTGGGATGATCAGAGCTGCATAGCAAGACCCTGTCTCAACAAAAGAACAAGAAAAAAATGTTGGGTGTGGTGCCCCATGCTTGTGATCCTAGCACTTGTGGGCGGAGGGGTGGGTAAAGGCAGGAAGATCAGGAATTCAGTGTCATCCTCTGCTACATAAGGAGTTCCAGATCAGCCTGGACTATATGAGACCCTGTCTCAAAATGAAACAAAATTAAATAAACAAACCTTCAAGGCTGAGTCACAGGCTCAGCATTGAGACCATGGGTACCAGAGATCCCCACTATAGCCCTTTCTCTCTGTAGATCCAGAGGAACACCTACTCTATTTTCTTCGATGAGAAGTTCTCTGTCCCCCTGGATCCCACAGCCCTGGAGGAGAAGAGCCTGCGGTTTTCTGTGTTCGGCATTGATGAGGACGAGCGGAACGTGAGCACTGGGGTGGTGGAGCTGAAGCTGTCTGTGCTCGACCTCCTGTTGCAGCCCTTCAGTGGCTGGCTGTACTTACAGGACCAGAATAAGGTGAGCATCACCTGCTTCGGTTTGCCTACAAACCTGTGGTGAGAACAGATTCACATCCACTTCCTAGAGAAATTTCACCATCCTTTCCCTCAGCCTGAACCCTAACATTATTCGGAAAACAGAAGTAAACTGAGTCACACTTAGGGAAACTACTTACTGCATGCGGTGGCAAAAAAAAAGCATCCTATAGACACCACTGTTTACAGCTCTTCTCTTTCTCCTTTTACATTTTATTTATTTGTGTGTGTGTATGTGTGTGTGTGTGTGTGTGTGTGTGTGTGTGTTACCAAATTCTTCTGGGAGTCAAAAGACAGATTGTGTAGGTCAGTTGTCTCCTTCACCATGTGGGTCCCAGGGATTGAACTCAGGTCATCAGACTTGGCAGCAAGCAAGTGCTTTTGCCTGCTGAGCCATCTCCCTAAGCCCTCTGTGTGTCCTTTTTATTATTCTTTTAATTTTATGCATATGAGTATTTTGCCTACATGTGTGCAATGCCAGAAATGGACATCTGATCCTCTGGAACTGGAGTTATGGATGGTTGTTAGCTGCCATGTGGGTGCTAGGAACAAAACCTGGGTCCTCTGCCAGAGCAGCCAGTGCTCTTAACCATTGACCCATCTCTCCTGATGCTACTTGGGTGCTGGGACCCAAACCTAGGTCATCTGCAAGAGCAGCCAGTGCTCTTAATTATTGTGTCCCTCTCTTCTATATTCTTACCACCAAATCTTCAGAGGCTCTACCCCTATAAGCTACTGTTAGGGACATACAGCTTTGGCTTAAAATGGATTATTTTAGACAGAGGCCAAGTTGAAGCTTACTTTTATAATTATAAGAATGTGGAGCTGGAGAGATGGTTCAGCAGTTAAGAGCACTGGCTGCTCTTGTACAGGCCCTAGGTTCGATTCCCAGCACCCACATAGTGGCTAACAACCATCTGAAGCTCCAGTTCCAGGAGATCCAATGTCCTCTTCTGACCTTGGGCATTGCATGACACAGGTGTACCTACCAAATGCAGGCAATACATGCATATACATAAAAGTAATAAGCAAAAATATTTTTAAACATAGTAATTATCACCGGGTGTGGTGGCACAAGCCTTTAATCCCAGCACTTGGGAGGCAGAGGCAGGTGGATCTTTGTGAGTTCGAGGCCAGCCTGGTCTACATAGTAAGTTCCAGGACAGCTGGGGCTACAAGGAGACCCTGTCTCAAAAAAGACAAAAAATAATAATAATTATTATTATAAGAATGCCAGGGAGTAGGGCTGGGATGTAGCTCAGTTGATAGACTGCTTACCTAGCATGGGTTTAATTCAATCCAGAGTACTACATAAGCCAGGTGTGGTGATATATGTGTATAATCCCAGCACTCAGGAGGTGCGAATCAAAGGATCAGGAGTTCGAGGCCAGCCTAATCAACACAAAACACTGTCTCCAGAAGTTTAAAACTAAAAGGGGTCAGGGGACGTTATTAAACAAATCCATTTCGTTTCTGCTTGGACATCGATGCACTAGTCATTGAATATTTTCCTTGGCCCAAAATGAAGGAACAAAACTTCATTTGATTGACACATTTGACAGGCAACCTGTGGACCTCCTTCCAAGGCATGATCCACACCTGGTGCAAGGGAGGATCTGGGCATGCTCCTGAGGTGCCCAGGGACAGGGTTCCTTTTCCTCAGCACTGCCAGCCTGGGGCCTAGGTTTGAGAGTTCCCAGGGGACTGGGGAGGTGGCTCAGTGGTTAAGAGCACAGGCTGCTCTTTCAGAGGACCCAAGTTCAGTTCCCAGCACCCACTAAGTGGCTCACAACTACCTGCTAACTCCAGTTCCAGAGGATCTGATGCGGCCTTCTGGTGTCAGTGGGCACTGCAATCATGCGTAGAAACATATAGGCATAATTAAATAAACAACAAAAAAAAAGAGTTCCCCAAAATCAGCAGCAGCTTTCCAATGGAGAAGGAAGCTTGTGACTTCCCTGGACCTCTCAGGCCCTGGGGGATAGAAGCCTTCTGAGCCATACCTGTCCCCCAGGCTGCGGATGCTGTCGGGGAGATCCTGCTGTCCCTCAGCTACCTGCCCACAGCTGAGCGCCTCACTGTGGTTGTGGTGAAAGCCAAGAATCTCATCTGGACTAATGACAAGACCACAGCAGGTAAGGCCCTGTGTACCCAGTTCCTCCATGTGGCTTAGGGGTAGCTGTGGCCCAGCCACTGTGTCAAGGGCACCGGTGGTATCAGCAGGTGTGGAACACAGGGCCAGGACCCCACAGATTCAGCTGAGCTCAGGAGCCAGGCACAGTGGGACAGCTAATCTGGATGGAGAAACATGGGAATACTGGAGGGTGACAAAGAACTTGTGAGGGCCTGGTTTGGGTTCAGGGGAGCAGAGTGACAGGGAAATGTCTGAGGGCAGGAGAAAGTACTTGGGCTGAGGCACTGGGCAGGAAACGGAGATCAGCCTCCATTTGTCAGATTTGGAGCTCAGAGACAGGGCAGCAATCTAGACTTCAAATGGGACCAGGGTCCCTATCCCTTGGGGTGGGTATCAAGTGGGATCCGATACCCCAGCTCTACAGGGGCCTATTGGGGCTTGCCAGACTGGGGCCCCAGGCAGTAAAGAGACTTGGTATCTCAGAGCTCTACACTGCTGGGCTCTGCTGTACTGGCACTCAGTAACTCAGGTCTGCCCTCTGCACTTAGGCCACTTATAGAATGGGAATAGTGGGTCTGCCAGGCACTGTGGAGCAGCATGTGAGGGGAATGTGCAGTGGGCTGCCTACGTCCAGAGCTGCCCTCTCCTGATTTGCCATGGGAGCCTCCAGTTTCTCATCTGTAAAATGGAATTTAAAATAATATGGAGGGGCTGGGAATATGGCTCAGTTGACAGAATGCTTGCCTAGTATGCATGAAGCCTTGGTTGAGTTCAACAACACTGCATAGAACTGGGCATGGTAGTGCATGCCTGTAATTTCAGCACTCAGGAGGTAGAAACAGGAGGATCAGAAGTTCAAGGTCAGCAGATGTAGGGTAGTGCATGCCTTTAATCCAAGGACTCAGGAGGCAGAGGCAGGCAGAGCTCTGTGAGTTCGAGGCCAGCCTGGTCTACATAACGAGTTCCAGGTCAGCCAGGGCTGCATAGTGAGATCCAAAAATAAATAAATAAAAATTAAAAAATTTTAAGTCATCCTTGACTGCATATGAAATTTGAAGCTAGCCTAGGCTATATGCGATCCTGTCTCAAAAATAGAATAAATAAAAATAATAATGTTGAGCTAGGCCTGTTGGTGCATACTTGTAATTCTAGCACTTCAAGCCTAAGGCAAAATGATCATGAGTTTAAGGGCAGCCTTGGCTTTATAGCAAGAGCCAAATGTACTAAAATATCTCATAAATAAAGAAGATAATGTCAAGCTAGGCACATAGGTGTTTATTAATAGTCCCAGCTACTCAGGAGGCTGAGGCAGGATGATCCTTTAAGCCCAGGAGTTCAGAACTAGCCTAGTGTGACTTTGTCTCTTAATATAAATAATAAATAAATAAGTAAATAAATAAATGCTTAAGAGCAAAGCCAGGTATGGTGGCTCACACTTGTAATCCTAGTATTCAGTAGGTTGAGGCAGGAGGATTACAAATTCAAGGCTAGCCTGGGCTACATATAAAGACTTTGTCCAAAAATAAACAGATTGAGGGGCTGGAGAGATGGCTTAGGGGTTAAGAGCACTGGCTGCTCTTGCAGAGGACCTGGGTTCAATTCTCAGCACCCACATAGTGGCTAACAACCATCCACAACTTCAGTTCCAGAGAATCTGACACCCTCTTCTGACTTCAGCTGGCATTGCACGACACCAATGCACTTACATATATGCAGGCAACACACTCTGGTCTGAGGCAGGAGGCCCCCTTAAGTCCAGGAGTTTGGAGCCAATCTGGGACACATAGCGAGGTTCCATTACTTAATATAAGTAAATACATATGTACATACTTGTCCTAGTTTGTTTCTCCATTGCTGTGACAAAATACTCTGACTAACACTAACTTGGGGAGGAAACGGTTTATTAGGCTTACATCTCCCAGGTCACAGTTCATCGGGGAGCCCAAAGTAGGAACTCAAGGCAGGAACCTGGAGGCAGGAGCTGGAGCACAGGCCATGGAGGAACTCTGCTTACTGGCTTGCTTCTTATGCTACACAGGCCCACCTGCCCAGGGTTGGTACCACCCACAGTGGGCTGGGCCCTCCCACATCACTCAGCAATCAAGAAGATGCCCCACAGACATGGCCACAGGCCAGTTCTATGGAGCCAATTCCTCATTTGAGGCTCCCTCAACCCAGGACTGTCAAGTTGACACTAAAGCTATCCAGCACAATTGACCCCTTGTCAACTTGACACACAAACACATCACTATTAAACCATAACCTTTCCAATTCTTATCCCCAAGATATGATGTTAACGTTATTATCATTATTATCACAACATAAGACAGTACAACCTTACCCACAGTCCTTAAAATATCCGAACACTTAAAAGTCCACAGTCACTTTTAAAGTCTCTCAACTGGGGGCTCCTGTAAAATCCAAAACAAGTACTGCCTTATTTCAAAGGGAAGAATAGGGCACACCTAAGCAAAACCAAAGTCCAGCAAAGTAGCTCAAGGCTGGACATCTGGGATTCACTCACAGTCCTCTAGGCTGCAAAGGGTTCTGGCAGCTCCACCTCTCTGACTCTGCTGTCTGCAGCACACACAGCTTGTTTTGAAGACCCAGGCCAGCTCCATTCCACACCTGCCGCTGCCCTTGGTGGTCGTCCCATGGTCCTGGCATCTCCAAAAAGCTGGGGTCTCCACTGAAACTGAGGCTACACCTTTACCAATGGTCTCTTCTTGCCTCTTGGGGTGCAAAACCTCAGATTCTCTCATGCTTTCAACACCAAAACCATGCAGGAGACTCTTACACATTACCAAGTCCTGCTTCCAGCTAGAGATGAAGGCTCGGGTCCCCTCTCGACCACAGCTGCTGTGTGCAGACCCTGAGGAAATACTTCCCAGAAGATTTCACCATAGTGATGCTGGTCTCTTGTTACTTACAGCTGATTGTTTAGCCCCGGCTAACCAGCATCAATTGTCCCAGTAAAGCAAAAGTTTTGCTTCAGGTTCTGGTATCTTCTTCATCACAGCTGATTCTTCAGCCCCAGCCGACCAGAACCCACAGATTTCTCAATTCAAAATACCACAAAAACAGCCCTGAGAGTCTGTGTTTTCCCTTTGAAGCTCCACAAACCAGGCCTCCATTGTTCACAACTCTTTCAGCATAACTGTTCCAAGCTCCACAGCAACAAACTCTAAGCACTCAATGGCTTTTTCAGCCCAAAGTTTCAAATGCTTCCAGACTCCTCCTAAAAACACCAAGGTCAGATCTGTCACAGCAACACCCGACTCTGTGGTACCAATTTCTGTCCTAGTTTGTTTCTCCATTGCTGTGACAAAATACTCTGACCACTACCAACTTGAGGAGGAAAGGGTTTATTCAGCTTACATCTCCCAGGTCACAGTTCATCAGGGAGCCCAAGGTAGGAACTCAGCACAGGAACCTGGAGGCAGGAGCTGGAGCACAGGCCATGGAGGTATGTTGCTTACTGGCTTGCTCCCCTGGCCCCTGCTCAGCTTGCTTTCTTATGCAACACAGGCCCACCTGCCCAGGGGTAGCACCACCCACAGTGGGCTGGGCCCTCCCACATCACTCCACAATCAAGAAGATGCCCCATGGACATGGCCACAGGCCAGTCCAATGGAGGCAATTCCCCAGTTTAGGCTTCCTCAACCCAGGTGTGTCAAGTTGACACTAAAGCTGTCCAGCACACATACATACATAAATACGCAACAGCAGGCTTTGGAAATGATGTCAGTAGCCAAGGGTCAGGTCAGGGAGTTGGAGCCAGTGGGCAGGGCCAGAGTGGACAGGACCATGCCAAGCAAGCCTCTTACTGACCCTCAGCCCCACTACCTGCCTGCAGACCCCTTCGTCAAGGTGTACCTACTGCAGGACGGGAGGAAGATGAGCAAGAAGAAAACAGCCGTGAAGAGGGATGACCCCAACCCAGTGTTCAACGAAGCCATGATCTTCTCCGTGCCAGCCATTGTGCTCCAGGTGAGGTGGGCCACTGCACCCCTCCAGCTTTGCCTCTTAGGGCCCCAACCACCATTCTTCTAGTCAATACCAGTCCCCAATACCACTAGGTGTTGGAGACCCAGGCGCTGCTTTCTTGGTGCCTACAAAGAACAGGGAGGAAACTCCCCAGACAAAGGAGTGTCCCAGGTTTCAGCAGCCAGGGGAGGGGCTTCCTGCAAGAGGGGACAGCTCAGCTGAGCGCTGGGGAAGATCATTGTCCTCAGTGGACCACCTGCAGTGCCTGCAGGTGAGCCAGGGGTAACCCCAGCCTGGGTTCTAGCCTTAAACTTCCTGTGTTCTACTGTAAGGGCCTTGCTGGGCTCTGTATACCCTATGGCTTCCAGAGGACTGTGTGCCCCAGGGAGAACTCTTAGCAGGGACACAATAGACCACAGGTCAGAGGACAACAGAGACTATAGCTTAAGCTACCAGTCAGAAGACAGGGATCTTACTTCCTCCCTTCACTGTCTCCTGTCCCTAGGTACAACTAACAGTAAAGTCTTTTGTCCGTTGTGCCAAAGCCTGCCCTTACAGCCTAGGGATTATGCGGAGCCCACCCAGTCTCCCCTCCCTGAATGCCCTCTACAAATTTCTTTCATTTCACGGTACTAATGATTGAACCCAAGGCCTTGTGCAAGCTAGGCAAGCACTTTACCACTGAACTACACATCCAGCCCTGTGGATTTGAAAGCTGAAAGTCAGTTTTACTCTGAGTGTCCCAAATTCAGGAATCCAGGCAACATCCCAGCATCTCTATTGGGTCCTGGGTATCATAGTCTTGACCCTCATGAAATAACCTGTCCATTTGACCCCTACATTGCTCTGTCAGTCACAATACCACTTCTCCTCAGCTTCCAAAAATGAGGCTGTCAGAGGAGGAAGGTCAGAACAGTTGGGCTGAGGTCTCAAATGTGGTCTTATCCTTCCTCATCTGCAACCTGACATGATTATGCCAGTGATAAGAGATGCCAGTAAATGCTCCAATAATGGCCACATATTTAATTCATTTCCTTCCTGGAACATCCCTGTGAAATAAGAAATTTTGTCAAATTTTGAAAATGGAAAACAGTTTACAAAGGCCCAAGTCCTACATCCTCGAGGCCCTGGGTTTGATCCTCAGTACCACATACACTAGGTGTGGCCATGCATGCCTGTAATCGCAGCATTCAAGAGGTAGAGGGATAAGGATTGTAAGTTCAAAGTCATCCTTGGCTATGTAGGGAGTTTGAGGCCAGCCTAAACTAGAGATAAGAGTAAACAAACAATATCTAAGTCCTTAAACCAGGCATGGAGCCATACACTTGTAATCCTAGCACTTGAGAGGCCAAGGCAGGAAGATTGGGAATCCTAATTCAGCCTCAGCTACGGAGCAAGTACGAGGCCAGCCCGGTCTATATGAGACCTTATCTCCAAAAACACATCGGGGCTGGAAAGATGACTCAGCAGTTAAGAGCACATACTATTCTTGCAGAGGACCAAGTTCAGCTCCCAGTACCCACCTGGGGCAGCTTACAACCATCTGTGACTCCAGCTCCAGGGGCTTCAACACCCTCTCCTGGCCTCCATGGATACCTGCCTTCATGAGCACATAGCCCCACACAGACACACATGCATACACATAATCAAAATAAATCTTAAGAACAGAAACAAACAAGTTTAAGCAACAAGAAAGTGAGATGACGTCTAAACCCAACTTGATCTGCCACTTTTGGGCCCTTAAGCAAATTAGTTGCCAGATGACTGGGACAATTCCCCTCACTCACTGGGACAAGTCAGAGGGGAGGATTCAGAGAGCTGGGCTGGCACCCCATAGGGCCTGGCATTCATAAGCCGAGACCTTGGTGCCAAGGAGGACCCTCTGGATGCTTTTGGTCCCAATCACCTATATCACCTTCTCCCCAGGACCTGTCTCTCCGTGTGACGGTGGCTGAGAGCAGTAGTGATGGCCGCGGGGACAATGTGGGTCATGTCATCATCGGGCCAGCAGCCAGCGGCATGGGCACCACACACTGGAACCAGATGCTGGCCACACTACGCAGGCCTGTGTCCATGTGGCACCCAGTCAGGCGAAACTAGCAGCCAGGGCAGGCCAGGTTGGCAGCCTCTAGCGCCTGGCGCAGTCTCGGCTCTATCCAATGACACCCTTCTCCACAGTCAACTGGAGCCACGAACACTGCCCCCCACCGGGGCGGGGGAGGTCCTCATCAGCCATCTTGGATCCTCTGTCCGGACTGCCATGGAGGAATGGGTATGGCTCTTCATCCAGGGACCCAGGGTATTTTCCCCACTAAGAACCAGCCATGACTGGCCTAGGATCCTGCAGACTGACCAGTTGTATACCTGAGAACCTCATGAGGTATCCCTTGGCTTGCAGAGGGATGTGGGCATTCAAAGCTGGCCAGCTTCCCTTCTGTAGTTCTCCTAGAGGCCAGCTGCCCGTATGTCTTGAGAGGCTAGAACTAACATAAACAGAACATAGCACCCAGGGTGCCAGGAAGTCCAAATGCCCCTCTCCCATTCTGCATGACTTTCTCAGTGCCAAGAATCAGCCTGCCCAGATGGACTTGGGGAGAGGTCCTGGGGTCTAGAGTAGGGAGGAACCCACAGACAGAGAAGGAACTGCACTTTGAGGATTGGGGAGAAAACAGTATCCCAGACAGAGGCCCCAAACAACAGCAGGGAGATGAATGTCCCCATCTCCAGCACAGTCCTTGGCCCACTGCAGTGCGGACAGGAGAAGAAGCCAGGAGACCAGGCCGGGCAGAAGCCTACAGGCCACATGAAGGCTCCCCTGACCTGCCACCACTGCAAGAGCCAGAAATCCCAAGAGGCCCAGACCCAGGCCCTTGACTTTTGTCCCATGAAAATCAGTGCAGCTCTACTAGTGTTGACTGGTGCCCCTCCAGGACAGGCCCCTCCTGACAGAAAGCTGCCTCAAGAAGACCTAGTTCTAACCCCTGGGATATTGGGCACCATATCCAGCCTCTGCCTGTGGCCAGTGGGAGCTCTGTCTGGGGCGGGGGGGTACCCAGAAGCAAAGAGGCTGGGTTGTACACCACCATGTGCCAATTTTTGGCTTCCACCTGGCCATCGTTAGTGAGGGTATCACACCCCTCCAGGTGTTACGAAATGAGGCGATGGCTTTCATCTGATAAAAGATAGTCCCAGAGAAGCAGTGATGTGAACCTTCACCAACTGGAGGTTGCACCTGCAGCTTTAAAAGGATAGTGAGTGTGTGTGAGGAGTGTTGAGAGGAGGACTCAGGCTGGCTGCCTCTGATCCTTGGCCCTAATAAGCACTGAGATCCAGGTCCAACCAGTTACCAGTAATGACAACGGGAGAGGTGGCTAGAACAGGGACACAGAGGATCGTAGGACTAGAGGCTAGACACACCTGTCACAGCCAGGACTCCACTAAGGCCAGGCTGCCTAACCTGTTGCCAATATTAAGCAGTCAACACAGGGCCAGGGACACACATCTGGGCCAGATCTTGCCATCTGGAGGCCCTAGAGTCTTTTTAACCCAGTGGCTTTACAGAACAGACCACATTCCCTCAACCTCCATCCCCTTGTTCCTTCTCTTCCTCTGCATGAAGCGTGGATGGTGTGCCCAGAATGGCTGTAGGGACCAAGAATATTGACTGGAATGATTTTAGAACCAAAATAAAGCTGGGGCAGGAAGGGGGCTTCCAGGGAGCCCTGCTAAACCTCGAGTCACCTTTGTATCTTTTCTGGTCCTGGAGCTTGGGCCCCACAGGGGTACTGTGTGCCTTCCATCCCCCACTGATGTCAAGGATGGATACCATCCAGCTGCTTAGGAAGGTCTGAAGAGGGGACAGGTCTGTACCAGCCCTGGCAGGGGAAGGTGGGTACAGGGAAATCAAAGAAGGCTTCCTGGTGGTGACACTCAGTTGAGTATCCAGTATGTAAAGCAGGTAAAGCATTCCCAGGAGAAAGAATAGTACACAGAAGAAGGCAGGAGGGAGCAAACACTAGGCAGAGTTCTCTGCCTCATGGGACATTTTTCTGCCTCACTAGGGCAAAGGGAGGGGGTGAGAAGCAGGAGCCAGGGGAGATGGGCCTTACAAGGTCAGTGAAAGCTGATGCCCAGCCTGTAGCCCAGCAACACTTACAAGCAGGCAACTGTTGTACAGAAAACTGGAAAATCAGAGAAGTTAAGCAACTAGCCCAAGATCACACAGCCAGAAAGTCACAGAGCTATGATCCAAATTCAGGCTGGCTGAGTCAAGAGCCGCTGTTCTTGACCTGTAGGACCATTGCTCATTAACTCCCCAAGAATGCATTGAAGGCAGCTGAGAACCTATGGATGCTGGTGGGCTCTGGCTTCCACCTCCCCTTCTTTCTCTCCCGTGGGAGATCAAAAGCTGGATATGGATTCCCAGCACCTCAATAAAGGGGAAATGGGAAATACACACACACACACACACACACACACACATGATCATATTTCATTGGATACATGCATGAAATTCTCAAGAATAAAGAAAAAGTACGGGCCAAGTGTGGTGGCGAATAACTTTTAGTCCCAGCACTAGGGAGACAGAGGCAGGTGGATCTCTGTGAGTTCGAGGCCAACCTGGTCTACATAGTGAGTTCTAGGCCAGCTGGGATTACAGGGAGACCCTGTCTCAAAAAGAAAAGAAAAAGGTGGGCTGGAGAGATGGCTCAGCAGTTAAGAGCACTGGCTGATGGCTGCAGAGGACCCAGGTTCAGTTCCCAGCACCCACACGGTGACTAACAATCGTCCATAACTCTACTTACAGGGGACTTGACACCCTCTTCTGGTCTCTTTGGGCATTTCACAACACAGGTGCACTTAGCTCTATGCAGACAAACACTCATACACATAAAATAAATTTAAAAAAATTTTAAGAATAAAGAAAAATTATAAAAAGAATTCCCAGGAGGCCATAGGCTGGATGTAAAGAGCTCTGAACTCTGCCCTTCCAATGGGGCAGACACAGGTAAGAGTTCAGGAACCCACAAGAGGAACAGAGACTCTGGAAGGCTTCCTGGACCATGGAAGTGTAGACACTGGTCTGACAAGGCATACCTGTACACAGAGAAGAGGGAGAGGCATGCCAGGTATGATGGCACGTGCCTTTAGTCCTGGCACTCAGAGGCAGAGGCAGGTGGAACTCTGGGAGTTCAAGGCCAGCCTGGTCTACATAGCGAGACTCTGTCTCAAAAGGAGGAGGAGGATGGGGGTGGGGGTGCCCCAAAATGTTGAAGAAAAGGTGTCCCATGTCTGGAGACAGAAACTTAAGAGTTGGGGAGTATGGACTAAGAGGGCGCCCAGCATCCCAGCTGAGGTAGAACATCTCAGTTCCACTGGCAATAGGAAGCCACAAAATAACTCTGAGCACCAGCAGGTCTTGAGTGGTTTGGGGGGACACTCTAAGGGATGTGTGCAAACATCATTCTGAGCAGTGAGAGGCAGGCAGGGCAAGCAGGAATTCTCCCAGCTAGCCTTAGATTTAGGGTTCACTGGGGAGGACTCAAGCTGAGGGGTACTCCTGGACAGGAGGCTGAGGCTGGCAGGAGCAGTCCCCACACTCCCAATCTATTTTTTAGCTTTATTTTTTTTATGTATATGTATGTTTTGCCTGCATGTATGCAAGTGCACCCATGTTGTACAATGTCATTGGATCCCCTGGAACTGGAGTTACGGATGGTTGTTAGCTGCCATGTAAATACTGGGAATCTGGTCTGTGTCTTCTGCAAGAGCAGCAGGTGCTCTTAACCACTGAGCCATCTCTCTAGCCCCCCATCTTCTTTTTAAAAAATATTTTATTTATTATTTTTATTTTATACGTATGAGTGTTATGCCTGCATGTAAGTGCACCCGTGTCGTGCATTGCCCTCAGAGGACAGAAGATGCTGTCGGATCTCCTGGAACTGGAGTTACAGACAGTTGTTAGCTGCCATGTGGATGCTGGGATTCGAACCCAGGTCTTCTGCAAGAACAACCAGTGTTCGTAACCACTGAGCCATCTCTCCAGCTCCTTATTATTTTTATGTGCATGCATGTATTGCCTGCATGTAGGTAAGTGCACCCATGTCACGGACGATGCCTGCGGAGGACAGAAGAGACTGCCGGATACCCTGGAACTGGAGTTAAGGACAATTGTTAGCTGCCACGTGGGTGCTAGGATTTGAACCCGGTCTTCTGCAAGAACAGTGTTCTTAATAGCTGAGCCATCTCTCCAGCTCCCTTCCCCATTTTCTTTCATGACTCTTCTCACCACCCTTTCTCTGATCCCTTCCCCAAGCTCCCATCCCTTCCCACCTTTCCTCCCCCCTATTCCTCTAAGCCCTGGGTCTATGGGCCTGCCTTCAAGGTCCAGGCCCCTTAGTTTGGGAACCCACCAATGGATGTGGAGGCCATTGACTGACCCAGGATTCCCTGAGGCAGGCCTGCCTGTGAGAGAAGGAAAGTGACCCTCTTCAGTGCCCACAGATGATAGAAACTCTGACCCTTTCTCCTGTCTGAGGCCACCCGTCTGTGCCTACAGACACCCTAAGGGAAAAGTTAATTAAGAAGCTAAACCGGAGACTGGTGAGATGGATTAGCGGTTAAGAGCACTGGCTGCTCTTGCAGAGGACATGGTTTTGAATCCCAGCACCCACATAGTGGCTAACAACCATCTGCAACTCCAGTTCCAGGGGAGTTGATGCCCTCTTCTGACCTCCAAGGGCACTGCATGACACTGGTGTACTTATGCATATGCAGGCAATACACATATACATAAAATAAAAATAATAAATAAAAATTTTTTTCTTCAATTTTTAATCAGATCAATTTACTAATTAATACAAGAATAGGTAGATTGAACAAGTAAGAGGTAAAAAAAAAGTACAAAACTAGGATCCTTAACTTTTGAGATCAAAATACAATTTATCAGATAATGTATCTGAATATTAAATTATTACATAATATAAACATTTGCAATATGGAGCAATTTTAAATATACCTGATTATCTGACTGCAAAATAACATTAAGGGAAATGTGACATTTGAAAATCTTGCTACTAAAGTAAAACATAAGTACTTAAAAAAAGTAATGAGGGGCTGGAGAGATGGCTCAGCAGTTAAGAGCACTGGCTGCTCTTGCAGAGGACCTGGGTTCAGTTCCCAGCACCCACATGGCGGCTACGAACCGAACCGTCCTTAACTCCAGTTCCAGGGGAATCCGACGCCCTCTTCTGACCTCCACGGCATTGCACGACATGGGTGCACTCACATACATGCAGGCAACACACTCATACACATAAAATTTTAAAAAATAAAAAAAGTAATGAAACATAACCTTGCTAAGTATGGTAGCATATGCCTATAGTCCCAGGTACTTGAGAGACTGGGGTAGGAGATCGCTTAAGCCTGGGAGCTGAGGGCCAGCCTGGACAATATAGCCAGAACATGTCTCAAACACAGTCAGAGTAGGGTTCTAACTCCGTGGCTGAGTGCTTCCATAGGGTGCACAAGACCCTGGGTTTACTCTCTAGCACCGCAAAAAACATTCAAAAGCAAAACATAAGGTCTGAGTAAGTACTGATAGAGGGCTTGTCAAGAATGCAGACGGCCCTGAGCTCAATCCTCAGTCCCGCAAAAACAGAACAAAAAACCGTCAGTGGAAATCGCTGCTACACAGAAGCTACGGTAGCGTCCTTTGTTACCGTTTCAGCCAGCAGCAACTTGTCCGCATAGTAATGTCATTATGTTTATGAAGTAAGCCATCATGATCTAAAAGTACAAGAAAATGTAAAAGTCATTCGAGTTGGCAAAATATACAAGACATTACGTACAGTGGGTGTTAAGAGAGCGCTATGAGAACTAGAGCTCAGAATGTGGATTTGATTTTGCCAGCACTCAGTGACTCGACGGGAAAACGTGCTGGAGGAGAATGTCCAAAGAAAACCGACAGGAAACGCAACGCTGTCGAAAACTGAAGCACAACTTCCTTCCTAGGAAGTTAAAAAATATTTCATATGAAACTTTGTTTTACATTGTGTAAACTATAGAGAGATTATCAAGTAGATCTTCCAATCCACAGCAGGATGACACTAACACTGGAGAGGGTGGACAGAACACAAGAGGGAAAAGTTATAGATCAGTTCAGCACAGAAAAGCTTGAGACACATCTTAGTGACGTCTTAGTGAACTCCGCCTTCTACAAACAGTACACACACACAGAATATACCAACAAAGCGAAACAAGCTAAAAAAATTCAGAAAAAATCTGTCAAATCATACATACAGTTTGTATTTCAAATTTATCACTTTAAATATTTATACAGCCAGGCGTGGTGGCACACACCTTTAATCCCAGCACTCGGGAGGCAGAGGCAGGGGGATCTCTGTGAGTTCGAGGCCAGCCTGGTCTACATAGGGAGTTCCAGGACAGCTGGGGCTACAGGGAAACCCCGTCTCAAAAAGAACAAAAAGAAAAGAAAAGAAACAAGCTTTCACCCTGAACCAAATTCCTAAAGCCTTAATACGAACTCTGTAGCCAGAACCCTCATTTTAGACATACCTGGGTAGAGCACCCTTGTCACACCATCCATTGTGGGAAGCTGTACCCTCTGTAAATGACTTACCATAGTGCATGCTTGGGAATGGTCATCCTGGTACTTACTGCTCTTTTAGCTGGAATCCCAACAGGCTGCATCTTGGGATGGTTAGGACA